GAGGTTGGAGGCGGTGGAGGAGGAGGAGGCGGAGGAGGGATGAGGAGCAGTGATGAGGATCACATATTGGAGGTTACGCGTGGAGGAGGAGGAGGAGGAGGAGGAGGAGGGATGGCGAGGCGGAGGGGGTTTGACGGTGATGAAGTGGGTGTTGTGATGATGGCACCGGCCATTAGATCGTCGGCGACGACCTCGATGATTTTGATTTTGGTAATGACGATGCTAATGCTGCTGATGATGTTGATGATGATGAAGATGATGATGACAACGATGATGCTGATGCTGATGATGATGCTGATGATGATGACGATGATGGTGATGATGCTGATGATGATGAGGAGGAGGAGGCGGAGACTTATGATGCTGATGATGCGGCTGATGACGATGATAATGCTACTGATGAGGATGCTGCTGGTGATGCCATGGTTTGATGATGTTGATGATGGTGATGACGACGACGAGGATGATGATGATTTTGATGTTGATGTTGATGATGATGCTGGTGATGATGATAATGATGATGAAGCTGATGATGATGATGATGATGATGATGATGATGATAATGATGATGCTGATGATGAGATGCTGATGCTGTTGATGATGCTTACGACCCTGGTAATCATGATGAGCATGGTGAGACTACTGATGCTACTGCTGATGATGACGACACCAGTGATGATCAGGACGACGATGCTGCCGTTGGCAACGCTTATCATTCGGATGCTGCTGCAGTTGTTGCCGATGACGACGGTGTTGCTAAACATGCTGCTTATGCTGATGGTATTGATGTTGACCATGATGATGATGATGATGATGATGATGATGATGATGATGATGATGATGGATATGATGCTGATGCTGATGCTGATGCTGATGCTGATGCTGATCATGATGATGATCATGATGATGATAATGATGATGCTGATGTTGTTGATATTGATGTTGATGTTGATGATGATGACGATGATGATTATTAGGATACCGATGGTGATGATGGCGATGCTGATTATGATTGCGATTGTTTTGCTGGACATGCTGGTGAGGATGATGACGATGCTGACCACGACTACGATGATGATGCTGATGATGACGATGCTGCTGCCGATGATGATGCTGATGATTCTGATGATGCTGCTGATGCTGATGACGACCGCGAGGATGCTGCTGCCGACGATGATGATGATGCTGATGATGAGTATGATTAGGATGATGCTGATACTGATGCTGATGATGCTGCTGATGATGCTGCTGATGATGATGCTGATGCTGATGACAACGATGATGATGCTGGTGATACTGATGATGCTGATGATGGTGATGCTGATGCTGATGATGATGATGAGGAGGAGGAGGATCACGCCGATGACGTTGATACTGATACGGGGACGTAGGATGTTAAGGAGGGAGGATGAGGAGGTATCGATGGGTGGATGGAGGAGGATGGTGGGGTTGGAGCTGGGATGATGATGATGCTGCTGCTAATGATGATGATGCTAATGATGATGATTCTGATGATGATGATGATGATGATGATGATGCTGATGACAACGATGATGATGATGCTGGTGATACTGATGATGCTGATGATGGTGATGCTGATGCTGATGATGATGAGGAGGAGGAGGATCACGCCGATGACGTTGATGCTGATGCGGGGACGTAGGATGTTAAGGGGGGAGGATGAGGAGGTATCGATGGGTGGATGGAGGAGGATGGTGGGGTTGGAGCTGGGATGATGATGCTGCTGCTAATGATGATGATGCTGATGATGATGTTGCTGATGATGATGATGATGATGCTGATGATGATGATGCAGAGCAGGTCTGAGGTTGGAGTGGGAAGGTGGGATGATGCAGGAGGGGGAGGACGACGACGAAGAGAATTATGATGCTGCTGGACGGTGATATGATGCAGCCGAAGGTATGATGGTGATGCTGATGATCCTGCTGCTGATGATGATGCCGATTTTGATGCTAATCATGATGCTGATGATGATGCTGGTGATGCTGCTGAAGACGACGATGCTGCTGCTGCTGATGCTGATGTTGATTCTGACGCTGCTGCTGTTGATGCTTTTGATGTTGACGGTGACGATGACGATGACTATGACGATGGTGATGCTGATGACGATGATGATACTGGTGATGATGACGACGACGACGACTACGACGACGATGACGATCATGATGATGGTAATGATGATACGGATGATGCGTATTCTGATTCTGATTATGATGATGCTGCTGATACTGATGCTGATGATGATTCTGCTGATGGTGGTGGTGGTGGTAACGATGCTAATGTTGACGAACAATGGCGAACACGCGGATGCTTTTCATGATGTTCACACTGCTTATCACGACAACGGCTATGTCCGTGATGACGATCGTGATGCTGATGATGACGATGCTGATGGTAATGATGAGTATGCTCACGAGGATGTCGGTCATTTTCATGATGTTGATGATGCTGCTGCTGCTGACGAGGATGATGGACATGC